AAATATTTGGTAAACATTTTTGATAATAACTGAAAAAAAAAAAAAAAACAAATTTAAATAACATTTAAGCTAAGTGCAGTGAAGTGCAAGCAAACAAAATTAATTACAAATTGTAATTGAATGAAAATTCAGACAAAATTTGTAAACATTTTTTACGATCGAAAACTAAGGCAACATTAATTTTGGATTAACTCGCAACATTTGCAATTGGATTATAAGGTGAGCTTTAATTTTATTTAAATATTTAAAGCAATGATTTGCTTTCTTTTATAAGTCATAGCCAAGCTAATCCTGATATAATGTTGGCTAATACCAACTCTAATACTATGCAACACTAAAATACTAGCCAGCTATCCAACACTTACTTCTCTATGAAATGTAATCCAGGAGAATAAAAATTTAATTTGAAATCGAATTCGCCAATGGTCTGAATTATAACTGTTCTCTTTGATCTTCATTAAATATCTACATTATATTTACTCTACACTGCAACTCTACACAACAAATCTTGTAAAGAATTGACTCTCCAACTAGCTACATATATCTCCACTCTTCACTTATTCCGAATTCGACTCATCTACTCTACACTCTTCTCTACTTCACTCTACAAACGCTCTGCAACTTGTTGCTTTCAGCTACTCTCCAGCCTAACTCTCCACTTTACTCTCCTCTGCTGCATTTTAGCTAAACTCAAAACTTCAGTTGGCTATAAGAATACACTTCCCATTAGGCGGTTCGCACTACTCTCCACTTTTTAACTCTCCACATGGCGCTGGAAGCACTTTCTGTCTTGGGCCTAACCTCCAAGCAATGTCATTCAATATTTATGTTAATTGCGCAGCGCATTTTCACTTACACAACACTAAACCAACACTGGGCACTCCCCTTGACAACGACCCACCGCCCCTCCCTCACCATTAGTACAACAAAATATTGTCACACTTAGTTAAAACCAAGTAAACATTTTTTCGAAAGTTTTTTTTTTTCCTCTTCTTATTTGTATCTTTTTATGCTACAAACATTTGCAAACATTTTGCAGACGCACAACGCATGTAATTATTATAATAATTACGCACAATTATAATTTATGCAAGGAAATGTATGAGAGGGAAAAGGCCTAAACATTGTGTTTGCTTTTTATTTTCTACGCACTTTTTGCTTTGTATATGATTTATGAGCGTCAGCGTTGCATATCAATAACAATTAGACGACAACTGAAGAAAAGCAAAAGTCACACACACACACACACATACACGTACATACATATCAATACAAGCACACACACACACGTGCAAACATACGCAACGCACTCAATTTTTTTCTTCTTCTTTGCATAAATTAAACTTTTCTTATATTGCTGCTGCTGCTGCTGCGTCGCAGTCGCCGCTGACGTTGTCGTCGCTGCTAACACGCAACCCCCTCGCGGCATTGACGCCAGCGTCGCTGCCGCTTTGACCTACTTTAAGCGCAGCGCGTTCCAAATTTTTGTGCGTTGTACGTACTGCTGCTGTTCTCCTTCCCCTCTCTCTCTCTCGCTCTCGCTCTCACTCTATTGTTGGTTGCTGCGTGCGCTTAAATGTAGTTGCCGTTGCCGTTGTTGTTGCTGTAGTGGGCCTTCCGCATTTAATTAAATGCAACAACAATTTGGTTATTTTCAACCTTTGTTTTACGTGTGCTTCGTTTTTACTGTTTTCTTTCTTTACTCTACCATTTGCTATTGTGTTTTTTTTTTTCTTGTTGCATTTTCACTTGTCGGAAGTGCGTTTTAGTTTAGTCTGGCCTCTCAACCTTTCAGTGTTGCTGACTCGCTCACACGCATTGCGCAATCGTTCGGCTTCCTAGAATACACAAAGCTCCCTACCCCAACCACCCTGTCTGTCTGCTGTCTATCTCGCTCTGTCGCACGCTCACGCAATGTGCGTCGCAGACTGCGCGGCTTTCTGAGCTAACGCAATGCAATGCTGCTGCTGCTGCTGCTGCTGTTGTTGTTGTTGTTGTCGTCGTTCGCAGTTACGCAAAGTGCGTCGCAGTTGCTGCGCGTATGCAGTTGTGTGCGTATTGTTCTATTTCTCCCCCTTCCATTATGCTGCGTGCACTCATTAGAGCTGTTTCGTGTGCTTCGTCTTCTTCTTCTTGTTCTGCGTCTCGWGTTGCGTCTGCAGCGGCTGCTTTAATAATTGTGGCATTTTATGACCTGCCACTGCAGTTGCTTGAATTTTAATGTGTCGCCTACCAAGAAAAGCGATTCAACATAACAACAATAACAACAAAACCCGTCAATAGCTTTAACCGAAACGCAGTTGTTATTACAGTTGTTTCAACTGTTGACATAGCACTAGAGTGACAGGCAATCAATCTGTCTCTGTCTCGCTCACGCTCTAGCTGCTCGCACTGCAATTGGCCGCTGCGTATGCACTTTCCAAAAATACGCAAAGCCATTGTAATGAGAGCTGGTTGTTGTTTAGAGTTGAAGTTTTTTCTTTACGCCGCAATTCCTTCAAGTGGCTCATAAATTTGCTTAGCACTGTAAACAAATGCTGAATAATTAATAATCGACGCTCTACATAAGCCCAGCATGCGAGAGAGCACACATACACATATGTACGTGTATGCGTAACTGCACATTTGTAGATTTTTGCCGCTCTCCGCTCTTGCGAAATGACAGACAGCACAGTGGCGTGCCATGCTTGGGCCTCATCCGTGCGAGCCCAGCAACGCAACTAACTAACAACGCCCATGAAATGCGTTTTCTATTTTGCTCATACACACACCCATACGTGGACAGCGCACAGGCACCAACACACACACGCCCACTTGGAGAGGGCGCTTTGCTTACTCTACACAACGCAACTCTACGCTATGTATTGAATGCATGCAAAACTTTTTGCCAGCGCACATTTGCCAATATATGCGAGCGAGTGAGAGCGACTGACTGACGGCGAGTGTGAGTGCGAGTGCGAGTGCGAGTGTGTGCGCTATTGCGAAGTGGAGCAAAAGGCAAATGGCAATTAGCAGCAGCTGGGGAATAACTGCGAACGAATAGTTTTGCCAAAGCATTGCACATAGGCTCCGCCATATCTGACAGTGTGTACATATCACATGCACAGACACACATAGACAACTCTACATTCACACCTACACACAGTATACAGATAGCATTTGCTTGTATACATGCATATGTGCTTTAGGCCTATAGACCAAACAATGGAGAAAAACAAATTCGAAACGAACGACACTGACAGGTTTTCACTGTACTTAAATAATATGAACTAAAAATATTTGTTTTCTGTTTCTTGTTTGCTTTTTTTCTTCCCTTTTTGCTTTCATAATGAATTTGTCTTGCGTTTTTGATAAGCTTAATTAGCAGCACATAAAAAACTCGTTGATTTCGCATTTTTTTATGACAAGTTACATTTTATAAATGTATATGAATGTGTGTCTGTGTATGTATCTATATCCATATAGTTTTGCAGTGCAAATCCCGACTTGATGCGTGTCGCACATTCTTTTCGTTTTTTTTGTTTTTATAGGCCATAAAACATGGCCGTAAAATTGCGCATAAATTAGTAGATGAAATTATTTTTACAGGGTGTTAGTTTGAGAAAACCTTCAAAACATGCAAACATGCAGTGAGTCAGAGAAAAGGGCAGCATAGAGAAGGGAGGGGGGGGGGGGGGGAGTGAGAGTAATAAAAGTAAACCTACTTTTGTTTGAAAGTTATATGCATATTTCTTCAAAACTAACTTCAAAAACTTAATAAAAAAGAAATATCGAAAAATATGGCATTAAAAATATGTATTTATGTTTATACAATTTGCTCTAAAATAATAAGTGGATTAATTTTAAAATGCATTGTTGTTAAAAATGCTTTGAATAAAAAATTAACCTCCAATGCTGTAAATTTAATGTCTATGAGAGAGATACATACATACATACATACATATGTACATAGTAAAAACACAACTTTAGTTTTCAGAAGAATGACTTTAGCATTAAAATATGCTAATTTATGCTAATCCAAAAAGTAATCTCATAACATGTAACCAAAAATATATTCTGTAAAATCAGAAAATAACCTTCAATGGGTGCTTTTTGTTATTGTTCAATAAATTCGTAGAAGCAACAAGCAACAACAATTTGTCAATTTCATGTCAATTACAACACCAAAAAGCGCAGATAATACACAAACATACATGTATATGCGTGTGTGTGCATACATATGCTATATAGCATAACTAGAACTCTATATCTCTCTTTCTCCCACATACGCATGAATATGGAGGGCGAAGCTTGTATGTTATGCTATTATATAGCAAAATAAACTATATAAATACAATAAATATTGTACATATACATTTAAATATATGTACATATGCATGTGTGTGTATATGTGCAAACGCAGCGCAAAAAAAAAAAAATTTTTATGTGTTACGCATTTTTCCTGTTTTTGCTATTGAGTTATTTGTAGATTGTGTCGGAGTCGCATCTAAATTATTGCGGCCTACAATTAAAATTGGCCGCAAGTGAATATAGAGCGCTCAAGTGAGAGAGAGGAAGGGAGAGGGAACTGTAGGGTCGGGGGCAAGCGGCGACCGCTACGCTCTATCGCCAACGCCTGCACAGCAACAAAAAAATTTCAAAAAAAAAAAACCTTGAGCTCGCACAACATAATTAAAAATGTGCGTAGACGCACACAAACACACTCAGACGCTTAAGCACACAGAAATACACACAGCGCATACACGCGCAACATTTTGCAGCCGAAAAGCTTTTGTTGCTGTATAAATGACATTCACGCGCACTAAATACATATACACGTCAACGAAAATAACAATAACAACAACAGCAGCAGCAGCAACAGCACTAAAAAAAGCTCGAACTGCAAACACAACAGCAACAACAACTAGCTGTGCCCTACAGCAACAGCAACAGCAACAACACAGACGCAACTAGCACTAAGGAAATCTAAAAATGGCTACGTCGCCAGCTAGTGCCAAATACAAAGAGAGCGAAAAAGAAACGAAATTCACTAAGCATAGGCCTACATATTTCGCTCTCACTCTATCTCTCCGCCGTTATTGCCTCGTCAAATGCAAAAGCTTCAGTGCTTACGCTCGCGCACACGCACTATTTGATGGAGCTTTTGAGCACGCACACACTATGCGAAAGCTTTTGCAGTCTGTGTGGAGATCACCATGCGGATCGCCGCAGCCAATCAA